CGAGTCCGACCGGCCACCCAGCATCAGATAGAGCTGGGTGTCATCCGCATATTGGTGACACCCAAGCCCATAACTCCGGATAATCTGGGCAAGGGGGCGCATATAGATGTTAAATAGCATCGGGGACAGCACAGCTCCCTGTGGCACCCCACACTCAATGGGGTGCCTATGGGAGCGCTGATCCCCGAGAGCCACCCTTTGTCCCCGACCTTGGAGGAAAGAGGCAAACCATTGCAAGGCAAGCCCCCGTATCCCCACGTCGGCAAGGCGATGGGTCAGCCTGGTGGTCGACAGTGTCAAACGCTGCCGACAGATCTAACAACACCAGTGCTGCCACACCACCCCGATCCAGAGGTCTCCGGAGATCGTCAGTCAGGGCGACCAAAGCCGTCTCAGTCCCATGACCTGGGCGGAAGCCGGACTGGAAGGGATCCAGGACTGAAGTATCCTCCAAAAAGCCCTGTAACTGTAGCGCCACCGCCCTCTCTATCAATTTGCCCAAATAGGGCAAATTAGACACCGGCCGATAGTTGGCCAATTCGGCCGGGTCAAGAGATGGTCTTTTTAAGAGAGGGCGGACCATCGCGTCCTTGAGCGCCGTCGGGAAACGCCCCTCCAAGAGAGACGTGTTAACAATATCTCGAACGGCGCCTCGCAGCCCCCCAGGACTCGCTTTAATGAGCCAAGAGGGGCACGGATCAAGGTCGCATGTGGTTGGGCGCACAGAGACGAGCAATCTGTCCACTTCGTCCAGACTGAGTAGATTGAAACGTTCTAAACCCGGCCCCAAAGACGTGCAAGGGGCCTCAAGTTCACTCACTGTCTCAATTGTGGCGGGGAGGTCATGGCGGAGCCCCTGGACTTTATCTGCGAAGAAGCTCGCAAAAGCCTCGCAGCCAAGTTCCAATTCCTTAACTTTTATCTCGCCCTGAGGCAAGGTTGTCAAATTCCGAATCACTCTAAACAATTGGGCCGGGCGCGAGCTCGCAGACGCAATCTCAGCCGCATAGAAATCCTTCTTAGCGGCCTTGACTGCCACCTCATAGGATTTCATAAACGTCCTATAAGATGTTCTCGAGGCCTCGTCACGAGCGCGACGCCACCGTCTCTCTAATCGTCTAAGTTCTCGTTTCAGCGCCCGCAACCCCTGGGTGTACCAGGGGGCGTGCCTACCGCGAGTACAGAGAGGACGCCTGGGAGCGATCTCATCGATGGCGGCAGAGAGTCGGACATTCCAGTCCTCTACCATCTCATCCAACGAGTCGCCAGGGGGCCTAGTACTTGACTATATGGCTGTATCTAGAATCTAGTACTTGACTATATGGCTGTATCTAGAATCACCTTTAATATCTCCCATAGAATTTTGATTTACTTTTCTCTGTGTGTGCAGTGGTGCTCTTCCTGTCCAGTCTCACAGAATAGATGGCCCAGGCCTTGGGATCTTCATGGCCTATTCCTACCACTTCCGGGCTCCCTTTCAGAATTCCATTTCAATCACCCATTCCAGGCTGTCCTGTTGCCAGCGGCCTCAGAAGCAGTCTACAGAAAGGCAGGGAAGAAGGCATCACTGAGGGAAGGATTCTCCATCAGTACTCTTAACTACCAACTGGGCGTTTGAGAAAATGCCAGTCTAGACAGCAGAGGGCTTAAGAAGACCCATTAGGGTCCAAACAGTATCACCATTCCTAGACTTCTTCGATGAAGACATTAAGGTAGAATGGGCACTACCAGGCAGTGGAAATTCTTTAGCCTGAACAGCCAAAGTTTTATGCATTGCCTAACGATACAATAGAGGATCTCAAAGTACCTCTGGTGGATGCCCCAGTGGTTGCACTGCATTCTGGTGTTACCTATAGATGGTGAAAATGGCCTCGAGGGCTCAGTGGATCACAAAAATGAAACAGTAAAGATATCACATGCAGCTTTGTCTCTAGCCATCAGGGCATCAGTTGTGTTATCCAACTTTACTCAAGCCATAGTTATTTGGGCAGACAATTTGCTGTAAATCCCAGACACAGATCCCTTAGAGCTAAAAAGGACATTGCTTAAAATAAGAAGAGCCACCCAGTTGCCTCAGATGCCTCTCGGGATTCAATACAATTCTGTGCCAGAGAACAGGTGGCTAATATCATCATTAGAAGGAACATCTGGCTCAAAGCAGCCTTTCTTCAGAAATGTTCTCAGGAAGACTACTGCTTGGAGAATCTACATTAGACAAGATTTTAGTGGAAACGAAAAGAAAAAAGCTATGCTGTCTATGTCTGATATAAGAGACAAGGAAGCTAGGAGTAAGTAAATACATTCCTTTCGAGGTTACAGGCTGCCTCTTAGATGAAGGGACATTGAAGGATTTCGATCCTTTGGATACAGAGCCAGAACTCACCAAAGACTTCCATCCACTTTCAGGCAAAACAAAAATTCATCATCCAAGAAAAATAATGCATGAATATCCATAGTAGAAGAAGGCTAAAAAATAGAATTTCTCTCTCTTCATCTCTTCTCTTCCCTAACACCCAAATCTCACCAGAGATGCCTTCTGTTACATCAGGCCATCCTTCATCTTCTAGAGATAGAAGCCATAGAAGAGATATTCATGGACCAGAGATTCAAAGCAGTATACTCGATACTCTTTGTGGTCCCCAAAAGGTCAGGGGAATGGAGAGTGATTCTAAATTCGAAGTGTTTGAACAGTTGGGTCAAAAAAATATCAAAATTCTGGATGGAATCATTGAGACATATCCTACAAGTCATACAAGAAAATTACTATCTTCTTTAGATATGAAAGAGGAAAATGGGACCAGACAAAGGCATCACACAGTATCAGCTGCTTTTAATAGGCCATCATGTTCTGGTCTACAAAAGTGCGTATCATCTGCCATGGTGGCACCAGATCAATGTTGTTATTCAAAGAAGCCAGTCTACTTCTAACTTGGACAGAAAGGAACCTGATGAGTCAGAGGGCGGAACACCGAAAGGGTCTTTCCAACCTGGAAGCAGACTGGTTAAGCAGAAAAGATCTGGACACAGGACAGATGATAGCAGCAATGCCGTGGAGTCTTCCAACAGTCAAGAACCTACTGAGCCAGGGGCCGATCCAGACCTGGCTTGGCTACAGCGACAGCTGACTGTATGGAAATTGAATTGTCAGATCTAGTGCACCACGGCTTTCCTGAAGAAGTTGTAGATATCACGCTGCATTTCAGATGACCTTTTATGAGTCGAATTTATAATCATACTTAGAGGAGCTTTGGGAAATCGGCAGATGAGAGGAATCTAGATCCATTGGAACCATCATACAAAGACATCGTCCTTTTCCTAAATAATGGATAGGACTGAAACCTTTCACATTTAGACAACAAGTGGCTGCCCTTCAGGGGTCATTTCGTAGAAAAAGAGCTAGGGGAACTCATTAGCATAACTCATTAGCATATGCCACACCCCCTGACATCACCGGAAGTGGGTCATAAGGCCACGCACCCCGCCCCCATGAGGGGCCCAGCGGTGGGCCTGCAAGGCCGGCGGGAGTGCGAGGAAGCCCCGCGAAGGCCCTCCCTGGCCCCAGGCAGGCAGGGGTGGGGAGAGGCAGGGAGGAAACAACTTACCCTCCTTATTCTCCTGCCTCCTCCTGGCTGAATGATGGCCGGAAGCGGGGCGGCCGGAAGCGGGGGGCGGGGCTTCGTCATGTGCCCCCCCGTACCTCACCCGGGGGAACTGCGATTCCCCCGCGTTCCCCCCCGAAATGACCTCTGCTGCCCTTAATTCTGTTCTAGGAGCTAAAAGACTGAATAACTTATTTCCTAATAAGCATATCAAACACTTCCTTAAGAGAGTTAAGCAACTGGCACCACCAGTTAGGCATAGGTTCCCAACATGGAGCTTAAACACAGTTTTTGGGGGCAATCACAAAGGCTTCTTTTGAACTGTTAAAGTCAGCAGAACTCAGGTGCTTCTCTTGGAAGGTTGCATTCCTAGTGGCCATAACCTTGGACAGACAGGTGTCTGAATTGGCTGCACTGTCAGCCTGTGAGGAATTACGTATATTCCATAAGGACATGGTGGTTCTCAAGACAGATCCCTCCTTTGTACCTAATGTTAGTTAATATTTCCACATCAACCAACCAGTGGTCTTACTGCTCTTCTGCCCTAACACGATGCATAATAAGGAAAGGATGTGGCACAGATTGGATGTGCTGGGGCACACTTACCTGAGAAGAGTGGCCAATATTAGACTCACTGATTGTCTTATTTGTGTCCCACACCGCCCCAAACCTAACAGTACAGCTTGCGCTCATTTTTAGTGAAAGGGAGCAAGAGTACAGCAGTACCTTAATGACTAACAAAAATTATGACAGGGCATGAGCTTTCATGAATCACTGCTTACTTCCTCAGATACAGTTGGAATGTGAGTCCATCTGTCCTTATATCTTGGAGAGTGAAGTGATTTCAGATGCCAAAAGACAATAGCAGGCATTGGTAGTAACAGAAGAAACCTAGGTCTCAATTCAGTCCAGGAGTTTCCATTGTCTTGAGTGTCATGATCATTTGCAATTCAGCAGTCTCTCTTTCTAATCTCCCTTTGAAATTCCTTTGTAAGAGAACTGCTACTCTTAGGTCAGTTAGGGTTAAAATGTCCCCCCACTGGTTTTTGAATGTTGTGGTTTCTAATAGTGGTAGAAAGAGTAAGAATCCAGTAGCACCTCTAAAGACTTAACAAAAATTGTGGTAAGGTATGTGCTTTTGTGAGTCTTTAGACTTATTTCCATTTATTCTTTGCATCCTCCTGGACTGAATCTTCCTGTACCAAATTGAGACCTAGGTTTCCCCAGCATTACCAATGCTGATATCTCCACGCCTCTGTATATCACACTAATGCTGATATCTCCACCCCTCTGCATATCACACCTAATCCAATAACGCCTGCTATTGCCATTCGGCATCTGAAATCATCTTTATAAAGTTTATATCTCCGGTACCTTGTGTTATATTTTATGGCACACATGGCACGGCCCGACAAAGTGATATTTATGTCAGATGCAGCCCTCATAACAAATGACTTCGACACCTCTGCCTTAAATCTTTCAAACTATGTGATGGGCTGTAGGCCAATAGTTGACACCCTTTTAAACATGCTTCCTAATACTTCTCCTAAACTGAGATTCCACCACTTGATCCTCACTGCACCCAAACTTCCATGCAATCATTTGGGAAACCATAGAAATACTGATATGGTTTTGCTTTTGAATAATAGGTCAAGTGGGTAATGTTACTTAAGCAACCTTTTAATATTCATACAGGTGAAGACTACAGTGTAGCCTCATCAGATGTTCTCTTACTAGAAGGAGAGACCAGTAAAGCTGTGCCAATTTATATCATAAATGATATCAACCCTGAGGTTGAAGAGTCCTTGCTTGTGCAGCTCCTCAATCAGACAACAGGGGGAGCATCAGTTGGAGGCCTAACTCAGGCAGTTATAACCATTGAGGCCTCTGATGATCCATATGGATCCTTTGGTAAGTTGGGACTTTTGAACTTTTTTTCTGGATATTCTGGTTCATAAATGTCAGAGTATGCATTGTTTTCTTTCAGCACCAAGTGTTGTCTTTCTGTCCCAGAAGCCACAGTATATCATTTGAAAGCCTGTGGTGTATTGCCATTGACTATTGGACTTAGTATCATACAGGATTCTCATGAACCTTGGAATTCAGATTCCAAGGGTTAAAATGATCTCCTTTTATTCCGTTATATCAGATACCTCCTCTGTGTCATTAAAGGAGACCATCCAATAGCAAAGGGAGAGATGAGTAGAAAGCAAAAAGGGAAAGGAGAGCAGCAGGTCCCCTAATAGGGAAATATGATGTTAACAGGTATACCTTATTATACTGATGGGCCCTTAGCTAGTTTTCAAGTTAATTTAGTTTATATAAATAATAGCTAGATGGATAGCAGTTTAACAGTGGGGAAGGGTGCAATATTGCCTTGCTAATATGACAGTCGTACAGTTAAGAGTTTGGTATGTTTATCAGTGTTCTACCCTTCCTCCAAGGAGCTTAGAGATACATTTTAGCCTTACCGAATCCCATGTGGGCTGTCAGTCTGAAAGGATCACCCTGCAAGCTTGATGACAGAATGAAGTTCTGAACCACAGTTTCATGAGTTCATTTTTGCCACTTCAGCGCAATGCCAAAGATGTGGGACAAAGTGAAGCATAGCTTTTTAGCTTTCTCTCTCTTCCAGAGGCCATGGCAAAAAAAAAATAATGTTCAAACTAAGTGTTAAAATTATGGCTCTTGTGTGGAAAACCATTCAATGTGGCCCTAAATTGTGGTTTGCTAAACTTGCTGCTGCTTAATAATTCTGTTTCATAAAAACTAATTATATTTAAAAGATGTATTAAAACACACTTTATACAGCAAAGGCTTTCTGTAAGATACCAGCAGGGAAACCACTTTTCTAGTCTTCCAGGTGACTGAAGTCATGGTTGAGGAGCCTGAGTCTAACACTGTGATGATAGAACTGCCAATAATTCGCAATGCTGGAACACTTGGCAATGTGATGGTTGAATGGGTTGCTACCATTAATGGGCAGCGTGCTACCAGTGATTTGCAGGACTCCTCGGGTAACATTCATTTTTTGCCTGGGGAAACCATGCAGAAGTTAACATTAAAGATCCTGGCTGATGATGTTCCAGAAATTCAAGAGGTGAGTTCTGCAACATGTGAAAATAAATGTGTAGTATTTTATAATAAGCACACATTAGTACAGATAATAATTAATGATCAGTTGCACATGAAAATACATGCTGGGGAATAATAAAAACAGTTTCCAAGTGTATTGCCTCATACACTGTGGCTTTGAAGCTGTTGATACTAAATATGAACACACATGAAGCTGGTTTATGTTGAATCAGACTGTTGGTCCATCAAGGTCAGTATTGTCTACTTTGACTACCAGTGGCTCAAGTAGGGTCCTTTCTGCCTGGTCCTTTTAATCCAAGCTGCTGGGGATTGAACCTTGGACCTTCTGCATGCAAAGCAGATCTTCTACCCAGATTTCATACTGTGAATTTCAGGAATAATTCATCTTTGGTATGGGAATTTTGGAGGTAAATTTGGCACAAGAGCACTACTTAGGTATAAGAAGCAAAGCATACATATTCTAGTCCCTTACCATACTACAGTAAGTGCTACATCTAATAATAACCTTTTGTTTGTTGTCAGTTGAAATATCCTGAAGTCCTGACTAATATTTAGATGTGTCTCTCTGACAATATTGATGAATCAGTGTACTTTTTTTGTGTGTGTGAGCATGTGTACACATCTGTCAGATTTGCTGTTTAAACGTGGTAGCCTACTACATGGACATAAACGTACAGAAGACTGTGGCACAAGAACTGAAAAAGGGAACGCGGTCATTGGCCAAAGAACCTCCATCTTGAATATGTTTGCACATGCCTAGTGGTGATGGTGCCTGGAAATCTTCTTATATTACCAAAATGATGGTAATAACTGTAAAACGCTGTGATTTTAGTAAATAATCCAGTAAGGCAAAGAGCAAAATTTAGTATGGGACCTATACTGAGAACTCACCTAACAGCAAGACACAAAACATGTATCTGCTGGTCCTTCATACTGGAGATGTGCTATGTCTAATGATTATATTCTTATTTCTGCTGGTCCTTTCCCATATTTCTTATCTCTAGTAATAGTAGGGTCTAGGGAAAATCAACATGAAATATCTAAATTTGGATACACCAAACAATGAGAATGTAGACAAGCTGCCTAATAGCTACTAAGTTATATCACGTGTGTTTGTCTGTAAAGGCTGAATTGATTCCCTTGCTTTCATTTTGAACACTGTTAGTTCTGAGCAATCCAATCTAAAATAAACATGCGTAGGAGACATTTGCTAGTGGTTATTACCTAGTTTCAGTTGTTCATTTCATAATTAAATTATGTGGTTAACATATTTTCAGATTATCAGAGTGGAATTAAGTCAGGCCTCCGATGGAGGTACCATTGGGCCAGATAGAGTGGCAAATGTTATCATTCCCGCCAATGACAAACCATACGGCACAGTCTGCTTTTATCATTCCATGTACCGAGTTCAAGAACCACTGGATAGAAGCTCAGTTGCAAACATAACAGTGATGAGAAGGTATGTTTTTCATACCTTAGTTTTATAACTCTACTGCTTATGGTCTGTTTTTTGTCTTTGGTTATCACATGGGGATTAATCCAATGATTTTTACTCATATATTTAAGAATTTTTATTGGAGGCAGTTGTCCCTTTGTTGGACAGTATTCCACTCTTAATGGAAAGGAACTGTTGGATCCTGCTGTAAAGCAGCCTATGGTTACAATGTTGTGTGAAGCAAAATTTTCATGATAACTGATTAACTATGTAGATTTATAGCAGTAGTATACCTACAGAGTTAGAGTGAATCCTTAGTCTGGGTATAATGCTAATTCATTTCTTCCACCATCTCCATGAATTTCCCCTTTATTATTTTTTCATTAAATTCTTTCTCCAATGAGCTCCTGGAAGAATATATGCTTCATCCCCCACCCTTTGAGGCCAGTTGGGGTCCTACATTTGTTAAACGTTGTTAACTGCTTTTGCAATATTTTATTTTCCAAATATACAGATTCTAAGTTTATAATTAACATTCTTTTCTTGCTTATCATAATTTCTAGTGGTGGAAGATTTGGTCAGCTACAGCTTTTCTACAGCACTTCTGAAGTTGATGTTGTGACTCTTGCAGTAAAACAAGGCTTGGATGTACTGTCCTATTATGAAGCACCTGTGCAAGGAGCTCCTGACCCAACACAACTGATTAAAGTGAATGTTTCCTTAACAAGGGATTCACTGTACACATGTGCAACTCTGTGCCTGAAAGAACACGCATGTTCAGCCTTTTCCTTTTCCAGTGCCTTTGGATCATGCTTTTGGGCAGCAGTGTTGAGTGGCCCATTAACCAACAATTCAGGATTCTGGACCTACAAGAAAAATCTTACCTCTGTATCCACACTCTTCAGTACACAAGCAGTTGCTAATAGTGACTATGGATCTGTTATGAACCAGCGGGTGATAATGGCAGAACTTGCAGAGTTTGTGAATCTCACAGTTAACATACTTCCTGATGATTTTCCTGAACTGGATGAGAAATTTATTGTATCTCTGTTAAAAGTTGAACTGATGAACATCACTGCCAGTGCTGAAAATCAGCCAACCATAGTACAGCCAAATACCACTACCGTTGTCATACTAATGAATGGGGATGCCTTTGGTGTGTTTGTGATCTACAGCATCTGTCCTAATACAACTGACAATGGTCTTTATGTAGAAGTTCAAGAATGGCCTCTGAACACTGTGCAGTTGGTGATACATAGAACAGATGGTAGCTTGGGACAGGTTTTAGTGGAGTGGAGCATAACTGGTGGCACAGCTAGCCCAAATCTGGATTTCATAGGGGAAGGAGATATCCTGATTTTTGCTGAAGGTAAGGAATTTGGGAGATTACAAGATAGCACAATGTACATATAACCATCCTATGGAACAGCCTTAGAAAGGCAAGGGCTGAGGCCGGCCTGTAACAAAGAGTGAGGGGGCAAGTGAGGTCATAATCATTTACTTTAAGGTTATAGTACAATAACCATGGGTTTGTAGCCCATGATTGTGCAGTATCCAAATATGACATATGACCTGTCGGCAAAAGAAAATAAAGGGAAATTTATAATGAGTATTATGAACGGAATGTTCTTTTTTCATAAGTGTTTGCCCCTAGGAAACTCAGAGAGTTCGTTATTTAGTTTCAGTGTCTTTTCTACCAAACAGTCTGTTTGAGTCACTGCTAAAATCACATGCAGTAGCACTGCTATATTCAGTTGTCTCCCATTCTCTTGACAGGTGAAACAAAGAAGGAGATAACACTGACCATTTTAGATGATTCTGAACCAGAGGATGATGAAAGCATTATAATCAGTTTGACGCATACTGAAGGTGGTAGTCGTATTCTCCCTAGCTCTGACACTGTCATGATAGTTATTCTGGCCAATGACAACGTGGCAGGAGTTCTTAGCTTTCAGACAGCCTCAAGATCTGTTATTGGACATGAAGGTGGGTTCCTGTCTATATTTGCTTCGCTTACTCTGTGTGCAACTTGCCCCTTTATTTATGTTTTCTCTTAGTGAGGGTTTGTTCCAGTTACCATATAAGTTGAAAGTGGTAAGAGAAACACTGGCCAAGTTCAGGTTGGCAGTTTGAAGTGGGAGGGAGTCATTGCAAAAAAGAGCCGGAACAAACTGTTCCTGGTTTTCCCGGTCACACTTCACGGACTGATGCGGGAGCATACCAAGAGGAGGCGCAAGGGCGCGTTCACACTGTTGGCCTGGAGGTGCGGCTGTAAGCGATGTTTTCTTCACAGCAGACGCCTAGGCGCAGCGGCAAATAGGGCAGGATCCGGCCGCTGTGGGACATAGGCACATCCGGCGACATCACTACCCCCTCTTAACCTGCACCTTCATGGTGACAGAGTGAGGCTAGGAGGTCAGTCAGCGTAAACAGCCGGCGCACATTATTAAAACGGGCTGTTCCCAGCTTTTAGTGGTTAGCATTAGCACACTTCCGGGAAGCGGAATGAAGCGGGATAAACGTGCTCTCCACGTTTGCTACCACTTTCACCAGGTATTTTTTAAACTCGGGAGGCAAGTGCTACAAGATGGGTTGAGTATGGGTGGGGAATGCCGGACAGATGTGCCTGTGTGAACGGCCTCTTTAATCCGCTTGTGAAACGTTCCTCACACGGGCCTATATCAGGGCAAACTGCCAGGCTGAACTTGGCCACTGAAAGGATCTGCAGTCATATTTTAAACATGGATCAGAACTTAAACAAATAATAAACCTCTTCCTCCCCAAAAAACCATTGCAAGACAGGTTTTTTTTGCTGCCTATAGCCCCTGTTTAACAGCTTGTCTTTAACTTGACAAATTTTGGAATCCTCCATTTCAGTGTTTATGGAATACTTACTTATAGAATGAGTATAAGCGTGGTACCCACATGAACTTTTGGGAGGCATCTTATTTCCCCTCCTCCACTATTTCTTCCTTTCCTTTCTTGAGAGCTCTTCTCTCTTTCCCACCCACCAACCAGCCTATTTTTATCTGCTCCCCCCCCCACCTTAATATTTTCCTCCTTCCATCCCCCTGGCAAGCCTCTACTTGGGAATAGTATGGCTCAGATGTGTCCAAGCTACCAGACTGGGCCCAGTTGTGTGATGAGGATCTGGCCAGGACTTGTGGGCGGGGGCACCTCACTTTCCCCTGTACCCCTTTGCCGCACTATTTCCTCTTTCTCTGTTCTTGACCCCCATATCCTCATTTTTCCCTGCTTCATTCTCTCCTTCATTCTCACCAACCTAACTTTTATCTGCCTCCCCATTCAGCTATAAAAGGTAAAAGTAAAGGTTTCCCTTACTTGAGAGCTAGTCGAATCTGACTCTGGGGGTGGTGCTCATCTCTGTTTCCAAGCTGTCTGTTTCCATGGTCATGTGGCTGGCATGACTAAACGCCAAGGTGCGTGGAACACTGTTACCTTCCCACCGAAGCAGTACCTATTGGTCTACTTGCAGTTTCTTGCTTTTGAACTGCTAGGTTGGCAAGAGCTGGGGCCAGAGATGGGAGCTCACTCCATCATTCGGCACTAGGGTCTTGAACTGCTGAACTACTGACCTTCCGGTCTGCAGCTCAGTGTCTTAACCTCTGAGCCACCACATCTTAGCCTCTGAGCCACCGCGGCCCCTCTGTTGTTCAGTCGCACAGTCGAGTCTGACTCTTTTCGACCCCATGGACCACATCATGCCAGGCCCTCTTGTCTTCTGCCATCCTCCGGAGTTTGCTTAATTTCATGTTCATTGCATCAATAACACTTTACCTCATTTATATCCTGCCTTTTGGTGTAGTGGTTAAGTGCGCGGGCTCTAATCTGGGAGAACTGGGTTTGATTCCCCACTCCTCCACTTGCACCTGCTGATGTGACCTTGGGTCAGTCACAAGCTGTGGCACAGCTGTCCTTGAAAAAGAGCAGTTTGTGTCAGAGCTCTCTCAGCCCCACCTACCTCACAGGGTGTCTGTTGTGGGGAGGGGAAGGGAAAGGAGTTTGTAAGCCGCTCTGAGACTCCAAGTGAAGGGCAGGGTATAAATCCAATCTCTTCTTCTTCTTGTTGTTGTTCTTATAATGGGGACACAAAGCATCATCATCTTCCTACATCATTCTGCTCTGCTACGTTTTATCCTCACAACAACCTTGTGACATAGGCTAGGCTGCATGTATGTGACTGCCCAAAGTCATCCAGTGAACTTCCATAGCGGAGTGCAGATTCAGACTTGAGTCTGTCAGATCCTGGTCTGAAACTCTTGAAGTGGCTGCTATTGAATAGTGGCAAGCAGCCAAGCAGGGTGAAAGTCATGTAGCAGGAAGTCTGTTGGGCCTGGCCTCAATGAGTCATCTCTCAAAGGCCAAAACAGCCCTGAAAAGAGCCCTGCCCCCTCCCTCTTCTTTTTCCTGAAAGAAATCAATCAAAGCTTGAATACTACTGTGGTTGGTTGCCTATCAATGCCACAGAGGGCACCTGTTTCTTAAAACAACAGTCACTGTTTTTATCACTTGGGGTTCCCCGTGTGTGTGTGTGTGTGTGTTTAAGATTTCAGATTTTTTTGTATACCTGGGACCCTAGTCTCTGAATTTAAGTATTAACAGAAGGGGCCATGTTGAGAATGAGATATATTGATTTAATTTATGCCAAGATAAGGTATTATACCTTTCCAGCTCAAATTTTGACCGGAGTTGATATATTTTATTTATCAATATCTCTATACTGTGATCACTGTCATTTATATGAGGCCTATAAGGGTTTAGAACAGATTTCTGATGCTTGTTGTGGGCTCAGGATCATTTATGTGCAGCCTATACAATACAGCTGATGCTTATTCCATTGCTACCAGCATGCTTCCTTCCCATCTCAGCAGCCCCTAGAAAATCATTCCTGTTTTGTGCTTCTTATGCCCATGTCTAGTTTTTATATTGATAATTGCTATTGTTTTTAATGATATTGTTTTACTTATAGGATTCCTCAAGCAGGTCTCTGGAAAGGTGGCATATAAATTCCCTAAATAAATAAATATTTATATGTTTATGTAGACTCTGACTGGAACCTTCTAGTGTTTTCTTGATAGAAGGGATTCAAAAGCCAGATATTTCTATTTGAAGTGCCAGAAACAGGCAGTTACCAGCTGTCTGTCACTCTTATAAATATGAGTTGATTCGTTTCATTATGTCCAGTACTGTGTATATGTGACCTTTTTTCTTAAAATAGTTACAACTAGATCACTATATCATCATTACAGCGATAGTCATCTCCTAACTGTTTTGTTGTATAAAATCAATGTGATTGATTTCCAGTTTAGTATATTTAGGATTCTACATTGTAAGCAAATCTGTAGCCAGTACTCTAAATATCATTAGTGGTGTACTAGAAGGGGGTAACTTGTAGAAACAAAGGAATTAAAAATAGCATAATTCTCTTATCTCCAAAGGAAATTGGTCACATATATTAAGTTAGGTAAAAAGTAACAGCAAATTAATTTTCTGAAAACATCTAATTGTCGGAATTGAACAAGTCAAGTTATAGTATTTTAAATGGACATCTGCAACTGCATATATTTTTATATTTTGGTCCCTTTTTGATGTTGTCTTGCCTTCTGTTGTATACATGAGCTACCGTATCAATTCTAAAACTGTAACAGTCAAGGCAGATTGAAAATCTAGACAAATATATTGAAAAATCTAGATTCAGGTACTTTGAGGAAAGTTCCATTCTATTAATGTCGAAAATGTGAATCTCTCTGGAGGCACACTGAAGGACTGTCTGTCATTATTCAGTAGTTGTTCAGTTCTCCATTTACATACATTGTAAATAATATAAAATACTGTTGTATAATGATGTGTTGAAATATACTGTATCTTATTTGTGCATTTTGCTGTTATGGTAAAAGACAACTTATGTTGTATACTATTAAGAGTTACCTTTGTGATGCATGTGCAAAATTCTCAAATAGGACATAATGTATTTCAGTACAGTGTTAAACAATATGGCGTTGGGGAAAACAAATATAAACCTGCTCGACTGGTCTTTAGATTTGTGTTGTCTCCAGGCATGTATGGAAGAAAAGTAAAGTTGTAGCAATTATATTAAGGTACTAATATAAACACTATATTTTGACTGATTTAGGGTTTAATTTTATTTTTGTACAAAAGTATGTAATTAGCTCTTACAATACAATAAATATTGGCTCAATCATTTTAATCTTAGTACTGTAATAAACAAAACATGGAATACTTCTTAAATATGCTGGCCTTTTCTGTTACTTGATTATCTTAAAATTAAAAAATGCATTTATTTTTGTGTATAATATATATGCTTGTATTATGTAAAGATACACAATCCAATTTTGTTCACTGGAAAATTGATAAGATCTCATCTTATCTTCTGCCCATGTTAAAAGTAAAGATTTGATACCTGGAAATTATCAAATTGTTGCCTTTATTCCAGCCCTCCAAGAGTCTATTGAAACAAGAGCAATAACAAGAACACACATTTCCGCAGTTATATCTGGGCTATGGGAGCTGTGAGAGCCAATAAATACAATAAGCCTTACATGCCAGGTGAAGTTGAACATAGCCAGTGTAGATACTTGGAAATATGTATTTATGTCACATATTTCATTCTGTTCCTGCATTATTCACAGAAAGGGACAGTGAAGCCCTACCCTCAGCCGCTGGAAATATAGCCAAGCTATGGTTTCAGAAGGTTTCCTAAGTAATATATAATCCAGGCCTTTCTATGGGGATAGAAACGTGCTTTAAAACAAGAGAAAGAGAGAAAAAACAAGGGAAGGAAGGAAAACTGGGCATTCTTATCCTTCTGCTTTTCCAAGGACTTACAATTGCAGAGTTTTAGAAGAGATCAAAAAAGATTTTTTTAAAACCCAACAACAAATTTTTCAATAATGAATTACCCTTGTGTAATATGATACTATTTTATGAAGTACGTATGCTTTACTATTTTATACGGTAAAAGATTCTATGCTATATACATCTCCTTTCCTTTGGTCCACGCAATACTGTATGTACTGGCAAATCAAAACATTGTGCACTTGAAAAATGCTAAAGACATAATATTCCAGGGACATGAGTTTCCAGCAAGAAAAATATCTTTTTTTAATCTAGAAAGGTAAATTCTGCGTATTCCGTGTTTGTGGGAAAGCTCCAGAATTTATACGAGGGTTTATTTAATCATATCAGTTAGTCATGCTTGTTTAATTTATTCATGCTTTCTACATGATTAGAAGAAAAGGTAGTTTCTGGTCTGGTACAATTATTTATGCTGTCCTAAAAGCAAAATAGCACTGTTTTCATAAAAATTATGGCTATCCAGAAAACTCATGTTCCTGAGTAATATTTTATGTCATATGTTTATATTACACATATAAATATATTCTTGTACTAAAATAAAAATGAGCATATGATATGTTTATGTTGACAAATGTGTGCACTCAGGTAATTAATTAATCTCTTCTGAATTCTTTCCTTGGAATTAAAAAAAAAGTAACATTGGTGATGCCATGTAAGTTTTAAACTCAAATAAATGGAAACCACAGGTAATTTCAGGCATTTTTCTGCATGCATAGTGTAACATTCCACAACAGTGCAATGTTACACAGTATGCCTGTTTCTTGCTATTAAACTGCTTTAGGAATTAACATGAGATAGCTAGTACATACAGCATTTACTATTTTTTCTCATCTACAAGACTGAAGAGGAGGGTCTTTCTTAGCCTGTCTGCATGCTCTGGTGATAATCTGATTTGCTTCCAATTCTCAGCATGCATTTTTTTACATCTGGTCACTGCCTTCTAAAATATAACTAATGATAGTTGTTTTTTTAAGATTGAGCATTTGGACAACTCTGTCCACTAACACTGAAATAGCCCACTTAGTAGGATCTCTAAAGCAAAGCTTTTTTATAAATATACATTATGGTTTTGTTTTTGAAGAATATTACCATGATTGTTTTATTTGTTACAGTGCATGTCTCAAATACCAGGGTTGTGTATGAGTAAAACAAGTATTGGTGAAAATTTACCCCAAACCCATTAGGTGCATGTACTACTGAAATGACTTAGACCAACTTGAGAACATGTAGATTGTATTTTGACAAGTTCCATTGGTTGCAGTGGAGACTGCACAGGAGAAAATCCTACTCAGGTATGTGCAAAAATGATGTATTTCCTTGTAGTTAATATGGTGGTGTGCTTTCTTTAATTCCTAGGAGAACTGTTGCAGTTTCATGTCCTAAGGACTGCCCCAGGAGCTGGAAATTGCACTGTAGACTGGAAAATTGTTGGTCACCATGCAGAACAAAACTTTGAAAATGTTTCTGGTGTGATCTTTTTTCTGGAGGTAACCAAAGCCATCTATTTTTCATTAACATTAAAAGAGGGAATATTAATGGCTGTCATTGAGCTGGGAGCAATGGAACCTAATTCCCAAGAGCAGCATTTACTTCCTTATCTGATTTATTTACTTATTTACTAAGAGCACCATGAAAGAATTTCATCAGGTCAGGGAGGGAACGAAGTAGATGCTGCCTATTGAGTCTCATACAGTATTACTAAGGCATACAGACTATCACTGAGCTTCTAGTACTTCAACTGCCTTGTCCTGACTAGAACCCATAATAATGGAATTTCCCCTTCTCTGCACAGGCAAGTTGGTTGGAGTCCTCTAGTTCTGCTCCCACTTTTGTTGTATAGGAGGCTGCACAGGATGGGCTACAACAGATGATAAAAATATGCTGTGATTGTAACGAAACCAAAGATGTATTACTATTCATAGTTTACATTACTTTGTTGAGTGGCAGCTCACCAGTTCCTCACTTTAAATAACAGGGATCATTGAATGCAACATTTTATGTTCATCTGCTAGATGACCATATCCCAGAAGAAAAGGAAGAATATCAAGTAATCCTGCATAACGTTAGAACTCAAGGTAACTTAAAGTCTTATTGTAGAAACTCAGAGATCTGGGCTACTCTAGGTCTGGGGCACATGTGTATGCTATTACTCAATTACTGAACAGCTAGTTTGCCACAGAGTGTGTCGAACAGTTGAAAAGTATTGTGTTTGAGATGATGTGAAGTGAAATGAAAGAACTGTCTGTTTTGTTGGATTTATCCACGTATGTACCACTAAATGCTAGTCATTCAGTGTGTGATGTGCATGTATCCACATGATAAATTTCCACATTCTTGCTGTATCATACAGCACAGTTTGCTTCATGGATTCCCCAGTCACATGGATAGATTCTATATCAGCATCTTAAGATTTGTGAAATTATAATGTATGTACATTGCATATATTTTGAAGAGAAAAAATCTCTAAAGCAAACTTTTGGGATCACATAAGGAATCTTTAATTATTATTATGCTAAAAAACTTTTTTAGCCTTCTAAGAACATAAGAGAAGCCAATGTTGGATCAGGCCAATGGCCCATCCAGTCCAACACTCTGTCACAATGTGGCCAAAAATACCAGGTGCCATCAGGAGGTCCAGTAGTAGGATCAAGACACTAGAAGCCCTCCCACTGTTGCCCCCCCAGCACCAAGAGTACAGTGCATCACTTGCCCCAGACTGTGAGTTCCTATCTATACCTTGTGGTTAATAGCCACTGATGGACCTCTGCTCCATATGCTTATCTAATTCCCTCTTGAAGCCGCCCATGCTTGTAGCCGCCGCCACCTCCTGTGGCAATGAATTCCATGTGTTAATCACTCTTTGGGTGAAGAAGTACTTCCTTTAATCTGTTCTAACTTGACTGCTCAGCAATTTCATTGAGTGCCCACAAGTTCTTGTACTGTGAGAATGGGAGAAAAGTACTTCTTTCTCAACCTGCTCTGTCTCATGCATAATCTGATTAATGATGTCAGCAAAGTTCAGGTGGTATACATTTTCTTAAAAAAAAAAAAATTGTCTTAATTTGGCCCCTCTTCCCAGCCTAGCCTATTCTGAATCAAGGGAAAATTCCTCTGGCAGTCTGATGTGGCTGAGAATGAGCTCACTCCATCACTCATCCTTCACATGGTTGCCATCAGTGCCCCTTTCCTTTCTTACCCAAATTTATCTTGTCATGGCAGCAGCAGTGATGAGGCAGGGTCCTGACTGGTCCTCAGTTAGATTAAAGAATGCTGGTGGTACTCTAGGGGGCTAGGAATCATAGGAAAGTATTAGCTCTTATGGATCCCTGAAACCTTTACCAGGGGCATCTTGATATCTGGAATGCTATCATGGCTATAGTCTAGGTCTGAATGAAAGTTCAGTTGTGAGGCCTCCTAGGTAATACTACTACTGCTAGATGTGTTTAAGGAACTGGAGAGAGATGCATGAGTTTGAGAGAAGCACTCAGATTTATTTCAAACCTATTCTGTTGTAAATTGGGGAAGCAGAATGGCTCATCACTATTTCTGATGTTAAATTGCAGTTTCTTTTAAGTCATGTGTGACCCCTGAGATTGCATACATATCATGCTGAAGTAGTAGAACAAAGTTTGAGTTCAGTGGCATCTTTAAGACTGGCAAAGTGTTATCCAGGATATGAGCTTTAATGTGCATGTACACTTCCCCAGGTGCATGCACACGAAAGCTCATACCTTGAATAATACTTTGCTGGTCTTAAGGGTGCCACTGAACTCAAATTTTGTTCTATGGCTTCAGACCAACACGGCTGCCCACGTGGATGCTGCAGCAGTGTTTGCAATCAAAAGTTGGCAGGGCTGAGGCATCCTGCCTTCACTTCATACTGCATTTCCCCCCAGATCATAGCCAGTAGACTGGTGAAAACAAAGCCACATGTTACCTTGAAGGCAGAACAAGGGTATGTTGTGTCTTATGTTGTGCTGTATTCATTATGGCCAGGGCTCATTTCCTGCCAGAGCACACTGGAACAACGCTCTGGCAGTAAGGAGCCCAGGGGGGGGGCCAATGCAGCAAGCCCTGCCCCCTGCTGGCCAACCCGCCAGAGCGCTGCCGCAAGCTGGCTCTTGAGCTGCTCCACCAGCCCGCCCAGGCACTGCCTGTCCTCATGCCACCTGTGGCGCAGCTCCTCCTATGAGGAGCTCCACCTCGGCCTCCTCCTGTGCCTCTTCCCCCACTGGTTCTCTGCCTTGGAAGAGCACCGTGCTGCTGTGTGCCAGTGGCAAGTGGCCTCTGGTTGGAGCAGAGCCTCCCATAGCCTCTCCCAGCCCGCCATCTGCCTTCCTGCATCTCCGAGCGTCGCTGTAGGCCGGCTTGTGAGCGCCTTCCTTCCCAGCCAGTGCTCTAGGCCAGGGGCTGCTTGCAGCCACATACGTGAGGCTGCCTGTGCCGGGGACAGCAGAGGGGAGGGGACTGGCGGCGAGAAGGGGACGCGGGCGCGGGGGAGCTGCAAGGGGAAGGTGAATTTCAAAACAAGCTTCGGGAGGGAAGGAGGGAGAGGAGCTGGCGAGCGGCAGGAGGTAAGTGGAGGAAGGGAAGTCCGCCTGCTGACATTGCTGCAAGCCAAGGGGGACTGGCAGGCAGATAGGGGAATGCTTGACAGCGGTGCTCCTCCAGCCACTGGCTGGCTGGCTGCCTTCCTCGCCTTGGCCGCAATCGCTTTCTCCCTCGTGCAAACTCGGTTTGCACTCTTCGCCTCTGCTGTCACCCAGGGCCACAATTTTTGGGCTTGACTGGCACAAGGAGCCCCTCTCCGCGCCCTTCTGCCTGCCTTTCCCCCTAGCTGCTCCGATCTTGGGCAAGCCGGCATCGCACCCCCTTTCCTCCCTATAGCCCTCTCTAGTTATTCTGCGAGAGCGCTACAGGCTTCCCCAACCCGTTGTCTGCTGTTACTAGTCCGTATGGTCCCGCTGGGTGCAGTATCCCCTTGGGTGTGTGTGTGCGTGGATGGAGTTGTTTTTTGATCCATGCGTGATTGCCCGTCTCCTCCTCTGCTTTTCAGTGTCAGTTCTGCACAGGCCAGCAGTGTGCAAAGAGTAAACACCCTCTTGCTCGGTTCGGCTTCTGCCGCTCTGGCGAGCCCTGCCATCACACCCCCTTCTGGAGCCCACCCGGCTCCTGCTCCAGCCCTCCAGCAGCGTTGCTCCCTCTTTGTTTGCAACTGCACCTTGCCCTCTTTCTGCACATGGCATGCCCACTCCTCTGGCAGCCGGACTTGGCACAGTTGCCATGCCCCCTTCTTCTCGCTGCCATGTCATGCTGCCTCTACTTGGCACCTAGGCCACGCCTCTTCGTGTGCCTTTGCCGTGCATCTTCCTGTGGCGCTAACCGCACCACTGCCCCTCTTTGTAACAGTCAGACGCACTGGTTTCTGTTACACCTCCCCCTCTCCCCTCCCCGTGTTGCAATTTTTGGATCCAGGTAAGAGTTACCCTCTTATGTAACTGACCTTGTGTTTTCCTGCAGCTTCGTTTGTGTTACTTTTTACACAACCCTGCAATATCTGCTGGTGTGGCCACCCTCTGCACCTTCTCACATGCATTGCCAACTTTCAAACATAATTTTGCTCTGCAGCAATTATCAAGTAGTGTTATATAGGGCAATGCCTTGAAAAGCTTCAACTGCCAAATTGTGCATATTAAACCTCTAGTAAAGGGATATGACATTTGCCACTCTCCCATGTCCAGGTGGCAACCTTAGTTGGCAGGCACCTTTCTTTGTCTTGTGCAGCCCCATCCTAAGCACATTTACTCAGGAGTAAGTCCTCCCCAGTACAGTGGGACTTACTTCTGTGCTTTACAACCTGACCCTTGTGCCTGCTAATACTACTGTTTGATAACTGCAATCAGTCCTCTCTAAGGGATTGATATTTTAAGCAGCCAGGTGAAAGGCTGTAATTTACATGGCTGCTGGTGTGATGTCTGTTTGGGATTATACCTTGTCTGGTCTTAATGTGTGTGAAGGTGCAATAGAACACATGCTCCTCAAGACTGCTATAAACATTGCCCTTTTAATTAATATCTCTCCCGAGCATGTTGTTGCCAAAATAAATGGATTGTTTTCCTGATTTATTGCAGAAAAAGCGAAAGCATACTAACTTGATCTGTATTTTCATGCTTGTTGTAGGGTAGCTTCCCTGCAAGAGCAAAGGAAACCTAAAGTGTCTTTAGTCAAAGTGTAAAGCTGTAAAGTGTAATATCTCTTTAGTCAAAGTGTAAAGCTGTAAAGTGTAATATCTCTCCCGAGCATGTTGTTGCCAAAATAATCTTTTGATTGTTTTCCTGATTTATTGCAGAAAAAGCAAAAGCATACTAACTTGATCTGTATTTTCATGCTTGCTGTAGGGTAGCTTCCCTGCAAGAGCAAAGGAAACCTAAAGTGTCTTTAGTCAAAGTGTAAAGCTGGCTCGGCAGCTCTGAGTTGGGAAATACCTGGAGATTTTTGGAGTGGAGCCTGAGCGGTGGATGTTGCTTTCTGACACACTTCCGGTGATGTCAGGGGGTGTAGCATATGCAAATAAGGCCCTGTTCACACGCGGCATTTGCGGCGGGAGAGGCATGAATGTCGGGCGGAGTATACAGGCGCAATCACAAGGACACATCTGGCAAGCGTAGCATACCCATCGCCAACCCATAGCATCCGTCCAAAGATCCAGAGTTAAAAAATACCCAGGAAAGCCTACTAGCAAATGGTTTGGTACGGGCCATCGATGGAATACCTACGTGTGATTGCTCAAGCGCGCTCTTGACGCGCGCCAAAAACACACACTGACAAACAAAACCTCACTTTGCTGCCGCAGTGTCTGATCACATTTTGGTGCGTTAAATTGCACCGGTGTGAAAAGCCACGCCTCCCTCCAGCGTTATCTGGCCCATGTGACCGGGGCCTAAGTTATCCTAATTAGTTATCCTAATAAGCTCCTGCACCTCTTTTTCTGCGAAATGACCCCTGATTATGGCATACTTGAAAAATGCAAAGTTAGGAAAACTGAATATCATCCTTGCTTATTCATTGCCCTGATTAAATGATGAACTTCTCAGCATCTCCAGGAAAACATTCTACATGTTGTGCCAATTTAAAATGATACAGCTCTGCAGATGACCATTCTATTTTAATATGTCCCATTGATTTCTTTTTCAGGAGTTAGTTCTGCTGGAGCTGCTGTGCTAGACAACCAAGGTTATGAAGCCGTTTTGACAGTAGAGGCTAGTGATGAACCACACGGAGTTCTGAATTTTGCTTCTTCATCTAGAGTTGTTTTGGTCCAAGAAGAAAATAAAACTGTTCAGCTTTTTATTAACAGAGAATTTGGATCGTTAGGTTTGTATGTGATGGAAGATACGTGGCGTAGGCTAATTTTAGTCTTCTCTTGCTCACTGTAGTCAGGAACTTCTTTTTTCTTAGCATTTCCCCCCCTTGAAGGTGTGCAGCTCAGACACTTCTAATTCACATTACTTGCTTGGGAAATTACACTGCCGTGCAAAGGAATATACCAATGCTCTTCCAGTGTATTAAAAATGAAATTGAGTAAGATTTTCAGTGGCTACTGGCTGTATTAGTTTTCAAAAGACCACTCACTGTATTCGTTTGGAAAATACCATGACAAGTTCTTTGATCTGCTGTTTGGAAATCTCATGGATCAGGATCAAATTGAGAAGACTAAGCTTAATTTGAAGAAATAGTTATGTTGGGTTTTGAGGTTATCTGTACTTTTAATATAAATTAAGGCAATTACAGGTAACAATCTTGGAGCCCTTTGATTGTGACCAAATAGATTAGATTCAAATTAGCAGTTCTTCCATAGATCTATGACTAGGAGTAAATCTTTTTATGCATCTTTGTTTCCTGTCTGTTGGTCTAGGACCAATAAAAGTATTTTCCTCTCACATTTCACATACTGATTATAATTATTCATGAATTTAAAGTTTAAAACCAAATTTATTGCACACTTACCAGGTATTATCAATGTCACCTATGCAACAGTCCCAGGATTGCTTGGTTTAAGGAATCAGACAGAAATGATGTTGGCTGAACCAGGAGGTGACTACATAGCACTGATGGGATCACTGCTTTTAGGAGAAGGTGAAACCTCAGCTACCATTAATGTTACTATTCTAGAGGTAAGTTGTAATTCCAGTCAACATGGAAAAATATTTTTGGATTTTGATGGCTGCAGGTTTTAGGTCATAATTATGAAATGCATCCATTTCATTTTGATTTCTATATATATTTTAATTGATGCATGGAGATAATTATATAATAATTTTTGTTCTGCAGTTAATCCCCAAAAGCCTAAGGGAGTAGCATCTCTTTGTGGTTAATTAACTTAAGAACTTAGTTACATGGGAACAACCTATTTTATTAGGCTGTGTTTCCTGTAATTGTAGTGAACTTCACAACCTTCGAAATGAAAATTGATTGCTGCATATTTTTATGATTTCTACCTCTTGACTTCAGTACTAGTTCTGTACAGCAAATCTTCAGTGTTGGTGGAAGCATGTTTTGTCACTGTGCTGTTATCCAGGGGTCTTTTTGTAGAAAATGAGGTGCAGGAGCTCATTAGCATAACTTATTTGCATATGCCACACCCCCTAACATCACCAGAAGTGTGTCAGAAGGCAACACCCACTGGTTAGGCTCCACCCCAAAAATCTCCAGGTATTTCCCAACTCAGAGCTGGCGAGCCTACCTGGAGAAAAACTGCTTCAAAACCAGAAAAGCACAAAGAAAATTTGTCGCAGGGGATCAGCTTTTGTGAGCCACTGCTCTCTTCTACAGATATTTCATAACTGAAGAAGTGACCAGTGACCCAGTTATGAACAGAGGCTACAGTTCCCACATTTGCAGAAGTCTACAGATATGGGAAACATCCTCCTCACTTGCTACCTACATGTAATGGTTGATGACTCTGTTTCAATGTATCTGAAAATGAGTGCATGAACATGAAAGCTTATACCCAGAATTAAACTTTGTTGGTCTTAAAGGTGCCACTGGACACAAACTTTATTCTATTGCTTCAGACCAACACGACTACCCACCTGAATCTATGCAATCCAGAATTATTCAAGAGGGCTCTTCTACATAGGCAGTAGGGTTACACTGTACAAAAGACTTCACAAAGTTACTTGAACAAATTATTAGGGTACACCCAACACCTCCTGTCCACACATGCTTAAGGTAGGATAGCAGCTCAATATTTCATTAGCAGTGGTACTTAAGAATATCTGTTCCAGTGCAACAGAACAAAGTTTGAGTGGCACCTTTAAGACCAACAAAGTTTATTCACATGAAAGCTAAGACCCAGAATTAAACTCTGTTGGTCTTAAAGGTGCCACTGGACTCAAGCTTTGTTTGGCACATTTTGTGTTTATTGTCTGTTAACCTTTATTTAAGCTGGTTATAGCTTAAAAAAGAGAGGGGGG